TCGGGATATACTCGTATATATGTATGGTAGGGCACTCATCAGGACAGCATACACTTCTAACCCTTCGGCTATCATCTGCCTTCCCAAAGCAATCATGCAACATATGAACTAAATGAATAGAACAAATTTTGCAAACTGGTTAACATGTAATCAACACATCACTAGCCCATCAACTTCAACAATTTACTATGAGTGTAGTAGTTGATTACACCAAACAGTTTGCGGAAACCCACGATTATCCTTATAAATGTCATTACAAAGCAAAGCCTTACTTAGCTGCACGCCAACGTTAAAATGTTTGCAATGGATGCAGTAATTGCGGTAATTTGCGTCAACATTCAGACAATTATGTTGGGCGGTTTTTTTTTCAACTTTTATTTTTTAAATGCGCGTTCATGTGATGACACTTATGCACTGCTGCAGGCGCTTTTGCAGTACGCCGACTACAAATTACGGTGTATTTATGTACATATATGTATGTAAGTAAGCAGATACGCTGTTGGTTGGCCTCATTCGTTTTATGTAATTATTTTTTTTAAATGCTTTGGTAACGTTGAGTAATTATTTATTTACAACAGTACTTCGAAACATATGTTTGCTTATGTTTCTGTATGTACTTCTGCATGTTTCAGCTTTAAAAAATATACTTATGTATGTATGTACTATATAATACGTACAGCATATTAAAATAGTAGCAATGTTTTTGGCTTGAATGCATTTAATGAAATAAATAAATTTGTAATAAAAATTCTAGATTTCTTCAAATCCCCCAGCTTAGGTTAAACTCAACTAAGCTGTCCATTGTGATGCCTTTAAGTGGGGAGAGGGAAAAGGCAGTAGGGTGGACGGAAGGTGAATGGAAAGATAGGAAAAGAGGGGGGAAATAGAAACGCTCCGTGCTCGCAAATAACCTCTTCAGTTGGCTGATGTCCATTCCCTACAGCTCATAGGGAGTGCGAAAAAAGTGCGATCCAAGGTGCTTAAAACTTAGTCTCACAAAAGCGGGCACCAGAGCAACAGGCATTGAGATGATTCCACTTCTTCTTCCACCTCATCATCCTCCATGCAGCTGGTGCAGTAAGGGTCATCGATGATGTTCTGCCTTACGGCATGCTTACTTATTAGCGAGAGATGCAGCTTGCTTAACCTCATGAGCTCCCCAGATTGCCTACGGTCTCAGCACCTAGAACAGTGCAACGATATGTCTATCATCTGAAGCTATAAGGTTCTCTCTGCATTGTTTTATTATGCTGCATGTGATGCTTACACAGCCAAGTGCATTAATGGCTGCCTGGCTATCCGAGAATATAGCAATGCTGGTGCCGGCTAGCTTCGACACTAAAATTATTTTGCACGATTTTTGATATGGCAAAGATCTCTGCCTGAGAAACATTACCCGAATTCGGTAGTTGAATAGAATCTTCGATTTGGAGGTCAGTTGAAAAAATTCCCGCCCCTACTCCATAATTTATTTTCTAGCTGTCCGTAAAAATAGATATAAAAATATACACAAATATACTTTGGCGCACATTTAGCATTAATATTCGTTATATATATGTGAATCATTACCAATATATTTATCGCTATTGCTATTGGTGTTCTTATTAATAATGTTGGGAATAATTTTCATACGTTCTTAATTATTTATCTATAAATTTATCGATACATTTATCGATATTATCATTCGCTATATAAATATCGAGATATCTATCATAAAAACAAATAACTTTCAAGAGTACTATCGATGTAAATATATATAAATATATAAATATGCACATACATATACACATGTGTGTATATTAATAAATCCTACCAAAATATGTGAAATACGCAGTTTCGAAAAAAGTGTTGGTCAGGGCCTTTGTGAATTAAGGTAACGATATGTATGTACATTAGGGTGCCTCGCCAAAAAGAAATGCGGATTTTCCATGAGAATAATAAAATCTATTTTATTATAAGAGCTCCGGCAAAATAATTCGGAAAAACATTAAGATTTATGTGAGGTAGACCGATTTGAAAATACTTCCAAAAATCTCATTATTTTGATTACGTTGGTACAAATTCTTAACACCTTTATGCAGATCTTCTAAGTTTTAACTCTGCTATCATCTGAGATAATTTTTTTAAAAAAAATATTTGTTTAACAAATTTTATTTAAAAAAAACTCCATTTCGGAGATATTTTTAAATCGGTACAGGGCACGTAAATGTTAATATTTTTCTAAAACATGCTGGCAGGGGTCTCACAATATAATAGATTTTATAATTCCGGTGGAAAAACGGTACCGATTTTTTGTTTCTTGGGATAGCCATGCACCCTAATATACATACATTTATTTAAGCACATTATTTTTCCACATCTGCCTTCAGCGTTCTCATATTTCGACTTACATACGCTATCCAGTCCGCAACAGTTGACGTAGGTTAATTATTTTACTGAAAAAATTATTGACTATGTTAAATTCCTTTGCACAGCACCTCCTGAAATAACAGAGTAAGAGCAACACGAATATTGAAATATTTTAAACATACAGCAATCATTTACATACGTCCATACATTTAAATACAAAATTAAATAAACGGCCACAAGAAAAGAAACCATAAACGAAATGCCATCATTGAAAACCGGTTGGCGAAAAAATTTTGTCTTTTAGCAGCTTTTTAAAGTGCAACATGGCGTATGAGTGTCGCTGGAAGTGAATATTCGACATTTATGGTCGTATCGAAGTGCCATGCTTACCGCCATTATTTGTTAACTACCTTTTTATATGCAGTCTGCTGATCGTTTGACAAATATTTTTTTTTTTTAATAATATTGCGAATTTTTTTTCGAAGACAACCTTTTAGCCGGCCAGCATACTGGCTGACTCCGTGTACGAAAATGCAATTATTGGCATTGCTCACATTTAATTAATGACAAAAGAAAGGCAACTTTCTTCGCTTCGCTGATTTTAATAAATGTAAACGCACACACACACACACACATAGATATACATATGCGTAAAGGTTAACGGAGCATTATGGCAATAACTGTTCAATTAAATTCCGTTTAACTCTTTTCTTTTTTATTTTTCCAACAAGTTTCCGAACAACAATAAAAGTGAAAAATGCATATTAAATTCCTTTTTGTTCACTTTTTTTATACAAAGAAAATTTCATATGAAATTCCAACAAAATGATGCTGATGACAAGCGACTTTTTGTAGCGTAATGAGTAATTTTCATGCTGAAATACAAGAGACAATAAATGAGAGAGGCAGACAGCAGGGCAATGCAGTGCAGTGAGAGCCACAAAGAAAATTATATTATTTAAAAAAAAAGAATTAACAAGAAAAGGCCAACAACTAAAGCACTGCCTTTAATGCTTTTTCGGTTTTCACGCCTGCTTGAATTTCCTTTTCCGCTATTGAGTTTTCACTTTCCCTTACTTCGCCATTTTTAACAGCTCTGCAATATTTTCGTATTCAGCTGTCGTTCAGTTTTGCTGCTGGCAATTGGATGCTTTTCCATATAAATAAATAAACTTAAAAGCCTTTAATAAAGCAGAAAAGCAATGTCGATATAAACAAAAGGGGCAAGCGTTATCGCAAAGGCCGACCGACGGCAGCAAAAGGATGGACTTTTATGGAAGCTGCTGAAAAAGGCGATGAAGCACTTTAGTGCCTTTGTAGCAGTCGTCAAAGCATAATATAATGCTTTGTAATTATTATTGTTTTTTTTTTTATAAGTCGGTTACTGTTATGGTGGCTATTATGCGATTTTTTTATTTACGTATATATATACATGTATCTGCAACGTTGCGTTCTTCTGCGGTACGTAAATGTTACTCAACTTTATTTCCCTTTTACCGCATTGAATACTTTTTAACCGACTTCAAAAAGGAGGAGGTTATTAATTCGTCGAAATGTTTTATTTTTTTTTTATGTATATTACGTCATAAGTTTGGACCACGTTAACCGGTTTTACGAGGTGGTCCGATACTAATTTGGTTTAGAACCGGTCATCTTTTAATTTTTATATGAAAATTGAAGTTATTTTTGTTCTTTTGTTTAAAAATGGCTTGTACTTTTTCCCGAAAAAGCACAAAAAATTATTTCAATTATGTACATTAGTGTGGTGCAACTTTTGTATGGGGAAAAAAATTCATCCTATTAAAACGGGTCACCCCCTTAGTTTTTCCTTTTGATATCTGCAATATCCATACCAACATTCAGTTTTCTACTGCAACCAATACAGAGTGCTCAATCAACTTGAAAGGCGCTACTGGATCGTTGTAAAACTGTCAAAAATATTGGTGATTTTTATAAAAAGCTACTGTTGCCATAACAACTGAAGCTTTTGATATTTTAATAGATAATTTAAATTTGAAATGTTTTTAGGTTAGTTAACAAATTGTTTGATTGATACATATATGTACACAATACCTCTAGAGTAAAATATGAGCATCATGAGCATCCCCTAAATGAATACTTAGAAACGTAAAGTTTAGTATAAGCACCTCTTTCGGCAAGAGGAAACATTTTGGAAGGTGCCCAAAACCCTATCTGGGAATTTTTTTTTTTTACCGCTCTAATGTACATCACAAAGAGCAAACTATGAGTTCTTGCATTGAAAATATTTTATCCCAAACCAACGTATCGACAAAGCGGGTTTGAACATACCGATTGCGAATAAACTGCAATGAATATTATTAATACCTTGACAAATTACTTATTCCACTTTCAAAAGAAGCAACGTATATATTTATGCTTCACGCTTTCTTTTTTCTTATATTGTGTGTATTTGTATAAGCATTAAGTGTCCAACGACCATTTGACCTTTTTTTATTATGCTTCACCCGGCCGACTGCTGACTAACTAATTTACCCCTTTTACACATACATTTCACTGACATTTTTCATAACTGCATATTTACAGTTGTAATCAATTTTTTTATTACCGTAATATTTATGTACATATAACAGCTACTGTACTTTTTCTGTGTTATCTGTTTATATTTTTAGGAAAATGCTGATATTGCTGCCGTTGTTGGGTGTGTTTTTTAACGGTTTGACCACAGCGCATGTAGAGGCGAATTTAAGTTTGGAATTTAAAGCCACAAAGGTAAGTTAGCAAAAACTATTCGTATACATACGTCCCACTCCCTCTTACATACTAGACTAGCGGATTTATGAAAAAATTTACACATATCGCACACCGTCTTCAAAAGAGTCACAACTCAAAATTAGCCATTTTTGAGATTATGCGCTAGAAATGTACACAGAGCTTTTATTTACCTTTCAGCAAATGCTGGAGCAACCTTTTGTTATAATTTGTTAAAAAAACCTAAGGTAAAGTCGGCCTTGCCCATATGATTAGCATGTGCTACGAAATAGTTTTTCGCATTTTCTGACGAACGTATTATTTTGAGTTGTGACTCTTTTGAAGACGATGTGCGATATCATTCTAAAAAAAAAATATGCACAAAAACTTGGGTATTATGGCTTATAGCCTGATAAAGATTTTACACAATTAGTGTATAAATAAATAACTGTAACATTTTAATAACACCTTTTTCTTCTTATGCGCTAATTTGTCCTGGAAATTTCATTGCAGCTTTTGAGGCAACACAATCCGGGTAAGTTCAATAATTTGACTTTAATAATAAATAGTTATGCACTACGTGCTACTATGTATGTAAGTGTTCAAAAAACTGCTCGAATAATATTAAAAAAATTAAAGTTTTGTGCACTTGCGTAATGAATACAAAATAGATAAAATAAATGTATGAATAATTTGCAAACTTAAAATACTAAAATTGTTTACTCACTGTCGTCATAGTTTGCAGTGAGAAATAATTACACTGGTCTACAAATTTCAACTTTTTTTCTGCGAATAAGACGGGACCTGGTGTTTCTGAACGGATTTTTCGTGCTGAACACGAATCCGGGGTCAAAAATGTCCCATCACGTCACGTTTTCGAGAAAAAAGGGGTTGAAACCCCTAAAAACAGCGTTTTTGGCCATTTTCGAAAAATTATAGAGCTGAACCCTGACGTGGTACAAATTTTGCATATATCAGAAATTAAAGGCTAAACCGTGCCCTTTCGAATGAGCCCTATGCCGAATTGATCGCGTGCACCCTTAAAGCAGGGGGTGTATTTGTGTTTAGGGGTGCAGGAAAAATTGATCACAGAAAGAATTTAATCTTAAACGATCATAGAAAATTAATAATGCCAAGGTTTTAACTATATTAAAAGTCGCTGATTACGAATCTGCAGTTAGATTTTAAAAATTTAAGATGACGGGTCGAATATGGTGGATATAAAAAATAAACTGAAATTCGCTAAATAAAAATTTTTAAGTCCGCCATATTGGATCCGCCATTTTGAATTTTTAAAATCTAACTTCAGATTCGTAATCAGCGACTCTTAATGTAGTTAAGACCTTAGCATCATTCATTTTATATGGTCGTTTAAGATGAAATTCTTTCTGCGATCAATTTTCCCTGGACTCCTAGACACAAATACACCCCCTGATCTAAGGGTGCATGCGATTAATTCGGCATAGGGCTCATTCGAAAGGGCACGATTTAGCCTTTAATTTCTGACATATACAAAGTTTGTAGCACGTCAGGGTTCAGCTCTACAATTTTTCAAAAATGGCCAAAAACGCTGTTTTTAGGGGTTTCAACCCCTTTTTTCTCGAAAACGTGACGTGATGGGAAGTTTTGGACCCCAGATTCGTGTTCAGCACGAAAAATCCGTTCGGAAACACCAGGTCCCGTCTTATTCGCAAAACCCTTGTAGACCAGTGTTATGTAATAGAGAAGCCAACGCTACTTCTTCACTATCTGTGAGAGCGCAATTTGTTTTATTTCGCACAAGGGAGAGGCAGCAACAGATCAACCTCGTGGGGCTACATAGACATTTCCGAAGAGTTTACTCCTCTATGTTTGGGGAGGCAAATACTACGCATCTCCGAACCCAAATCTAAGTCGGAATAAATACAGAACTCTCTCCTTTAAATGCAGAAAAAATTCGAAAATTACGAAATACAAAGGCCCGGGGTTCAAGATTTGCTCATAAAACCTGCAAATCTTGCAGCGAAAGTGTGGATTCTTACGGTGTGATAAAGGTCATCTTATTAAGCCCAATCCGCAATCATAAAATAGTACAGAAACTTTGTTTTGAAAATTGAGGGCTAACGCTTGTGGGCAGCTGATTAAACCAAGTGATATTTTGACTAGTTTTAGCTATTTTTCTTTTGTTTATTTAATGCTTAATTTTTTTTTTATAAAAGTTAGCCCTTTACCTAACCAGCGCCACATAATCCACATTTCAAACAAAATTCAACAAACTTTAACATTTGCACGCAAAAATTTTAAAATTTTTATCTAGAATTTTTAGAAATATTTTGGGTATGCAGTCTTTTAGATAAATTAGTTTTAGTAGGTTAAAGTGCAAATTTCAAGTCGCTAGAAAATCGTATTGATTTTGAAAAATTTTTTGCTGATGGTGCCAGGCATTTTCTCCCATAGAAACGAAATGTTCGAGCATATTTTAAATAATTTAATGAAATATAAAATTGCATACCCAAAATTTTTCTAAAAATTTTAAATAAAAAGTTTAAAATTTTCGGGTGCAAATGTTAAAGTTTGCTGAACTTTTATAATTTTTGTGCGAAGTCAAACATGAATAAAATTGCCAAAAATAAACGGTAAGTCCTAGCTACTTTAAAATTGCACTTATTTATTATATTAGAAATGAACGCGCTGCAAGGCTTTTTGTTTTTGTTTGTTATATTTAATTGTTTAACAAAAAAAAATTACGCAAAACAAGTTGATTCATTAAAAATTGTTATTTTTGCGAGCACTGACTGAAAAATGGGCATAAAGAGGCTGAAATATTGCCACAATTATTTTTTTGTGGGCGACAGCGAAATTTTACTATGGAACGGAGATAAAAATACATTCGTTTTATTTGACACAGTCCAATGTATATAATATGTATATGAAAGTGAATTGGCAATTAATTTTTAATGTTTTTATGTTTGTTTTTTTTTAATCCCATTGATTTAACAACAAATTATTTTAATGGAAATCCAAAGCTTTTCCAAAAGTCACTTTTACTATTTAAGTACTTGAATATTTAACTGTTTCGCAAAATATGTATATCGCGGCGCTAATTCCTTTAGTTTTAATTTAATTTAAATTTTTGTTTTTGTTTCGCTAAGTCCATCATTGTGCATTTTTTAAATCAAAATAACTTGAGTATATAAGCAGATACAACACAAATATTTATCGCTACTATGCCATTAGTGAATTCAATGCCAATGCAATTTACTCAACAAACTCACTCACTTCATATAAAAATATTTGGCATTGTTGCAAATAAAAAGTTTTCAGTCGAATTTTTGGCAGGCTATACAACATATATATATATGGGTACGAATTATAATGCAATGTACTAAGCAGTTTTCAAAAATGCTGCCTACATTTTTTATGACCTACGCTGATGGAGTATATACAAATGCATTTACATATATTTACTTATGTATACATATATTTATATGTAGTTTTATTCACTTGGGTCGCTGGTTGCTCACTAGAGAGCGCAGTTGATACCCTAAAACAACACAGCTTTTATACTTAGTTAGCCTTGAGCCTTGACCTGAAATGGGCGAGTACGCGAGTTGAGTACACAGTCAACAAAGTGCGGAATAAATATAGAGAAAATAGAAAAATTTTAAGGTAACTAACTAAGTAGAACAAATCAACTTTAACTAAGTTGATTTTGCTGTTTTAGGCAAAAAGTTTTGCATTTTAGTTATGCACACATACATACATATGTTAAATATATTTATACGAGTATGTATGTATGTATGAGTACCTAGAGTACTCTGTAATGTACGAAAATATTCATTTAAGCAAACACACTCGCATGCATTTTGTTAAACTCACACGCATATGAGATCGTATATAAGTACCTACACACATAAATAAATGTGTATGTGGTGTGCTTAATTACGATTTACATTTCCTGAGTTTGCAGTTAATTTGTGTGCTCTGCCAGCATATGTAATTTAAAATTAGCGAATAAATTCAGTTTTTGCATAGTTTTTTGCGTTTTTTTTTTTGCAAATTTTACGTAGATACACCGAATTTTATGAGTTTGCGTGTAGTGTAGGGAAATTAATGTTACTTATACAAGCATATGCATGTATGTAAATACGTAGGTATATTCATGGGTCAATGTTGAACAAGTTAGATTGTTTGAATACAAGTAAGAGTTATTGCAGTAGCTTCAGTTATTTTAGGTTTTTCAAATTAAAAAATCTCTTCGAGATTATTAGTTTTGCAGGCAAATATAGAAAAAAATTCGAATTTTTATTCTGACTAGTAAGAATTTGGCGGCCGCTGCGGTGTAGTGGTTAGCAGTGCGCGCTACCTGGGTTCAAGCCCTGGTCAAAGCAGCATCGCAAAAAAATTTAGAAATTTTTGTTTTTCTTAACAGCAATCGCTTCTCAGCAGGCAATGGCAAACGTCTGAGTGTACTTCCGCTTTCTGCCATGAAAAACAGCTTCTCATAAAAATACAATCGCCGTTGGGAATCGGCGTAAAACTGTTGGTCCCTCCGCTTTGTGTGACAACATGAAGGCGCATGCCACAAATGGGAGGTGATGCTCAGCTAAACACTCACATATGTTCGTCGTTCATTCTTTAGCGGAATTGACAATAATGCAGAAATATTCACTTAGTATAATAATTTTCCATATAACACAAAAATTCCGACCAGTGGTCGCCGGAAAAATTTTGTTTTGCATTTTTTTTTTTGAGGGCGAAGCCTACATGAAATTATGTTTCAATACATTTGGTGCAGCGTTTATCCAATACCTTTTTGAAGTACTCTCAAATAAAAGATTTCTTCAAGTTCCTTAAAATGGGGGTTTATTTAAGTGATGATATTTCCATCTGCTTAAAATGTCTGGCCGCCTGTCCATTATTTCATTTTTAGAAACGTGAAACAGTCAGGGAAGAATGCGCTGGATAGGGTAGCAGTTTTTTAGACCGTTCTCAACATCGTCAGAAGAAGCCGCAGTGCTAATCATGGGTCTAGGTATATCTTACTGATAAAGTGTCGTTGGCATTAAATGACAAAAACTTAGGAGATGATCAGCAATGGTGTCACTATTCCTTTCACAAGCTAAAAATTTTTCATTCAACCACCTTTTTTGATCAGAATATTGGCAATTACCATTTGCGAAAAAAACCAAAGTCATTATAAAAGGCTGTAGAAAAAATATTTTAACCAATTCCTGCGTTTCACTCAATAATGTAAACTAAAACTGCAAAAACTAAATGCATTCGAAAATGATAAGTGTACACCGTCTCTTTATAATCATCTATTAGCTAATAATCTCTGGTTGACAATTTGCATATCAATCATGCAGAATATCAATGAGAAATCTATGCCAATCAAATTTGTCATCAACTTGACTTCGCGGGTATGTTGACATAAACTGGAGCCAAGGATTATTAATGTAATCTCTCTAACTCGAGTCGATTTGTCAATCTTTGATATAAAATATCAACTTTTAAATGTAAATGTGCGTTTCCACTCACACAGACAGACCGAGCGACAGATACGGTTGTATTAATCAATCAATTGCTGACCAACGATTGGCCGCAGCACAAAGATGTGATGGCAAGAGAGCAAAGCGTTTAGGTATAAAATAATGCAAATACAAAAATAATATTATCTTTGCTTGAAATTTTCACAAGGAAATCAATTCCAATGCTACAAGCAAGCGTAAGAGATCGAGAGGAGTGAAGGTAAGAAAGCAAACTTTACTGTCGGGAATATTGTTCTCATTTGCATATGACGATTGAAGAGCAGTGCTGGGAAAACTATTCCAAGCAAAATTTATTATTGAAGAACATATGTATGTATATAAAAGTCAAAGATATGCAAACATGAAAGGAAATAAGTGGTAAATCAAAATATTTTTAATACGTTTGCCAATATTATTAATGCAAAATACATACATACACACATACATACGAGTATTATAAATATTAGTACATACATACATAGTAACCCAGACGACTACCAGCTTATGGCTATCACAAATGTTTACCTACGTCAGACCAAAAGTAAATATTTACATTTCAATAAGATTTGGTTGGCTATAGGCTAGTCGGGTTTCAAAGTCGGGCAGGACGAAGAACTTGATTGAAGCAAATACAAAATGTGTAAATTTAATTCAAGGGTACAGTGAAAAATTTAATATTAACTGGACAGTGTAAATCTGTTATTACTTATTATGTGTTAATTTAACTTATTTATTTTAATTTTTTTTTATTTTTATTTTTTTACTAATCTTGAAAAGGAACATAGCATAGAAAAGGAAAAATAGTAAGAAGTGGCTGGCATCACTGACTTTCGTTTGGGTAGCAGAAATGAAGGGGAATGCAAATAAAAATAACTTATTTGTTCAAGATTTTATTACAGCAGCAGAAGCAGTAGCAATGTAAGGGTCAAATATTTATTTTGCTATTGCATGGAGTGAGGTGAAGTGCTGAGTTGAAGGACGAAAATTTAGTGCGAATGAGTACGCAAATATTCTTAAGCGCATATACCGGTATTCATATAATTATTTTATAATTACACGTAGCTAAAATCTTTGCATTAGGTAAAGTTTACATTTGACGTAAACTTTCTTTCGCCTAATTTTTAGCAGTAAGTTTAGAGAAATAGGGATACTGAACTGATTTCAAAACCAAGCACACTATTCGAAAGTTATTTTTCAGTAGATGAGGAGAGTTTTTATGATTTTAAAATTAGTCGAAAATTACGGCTGAAATCGGAATTTAAGAATTTGCGTATTTGTGTATCGTTGTTGTTGCAACAAGCTCAATTTGTGTTGTTTTCGCGTGTTGTTATACTTTCTAGTAGAAATTAAACTTTGTAATGAATTGTAAATGATTACGATTACGACACAAAAGTGAAGGTAAAATTTAAGATAAAGACAAAAATGAAACGAATGAGAAATACATAAGAACTTGGGTAACTGAAAGAGTAAGAATATTTATTGAAATTGTTCGATAGGAGTGGAAATAAATTCAGTCATTAAAAATTCTGTTATCGAAAATTATCAAGTTACCGAAATTTATCGAATCGTCGAAGTTAATTTTTATCGAAATTTATCGAGTTATCAATGTTTATTGAGTTATCGCAACGTATCGAATTATTCAAATTGGTCAATGTTTATTGAGTTGTCGAAATTTATAGACCAAGAAAATTAGTGGTCGAAATTTACGGATAACTAGTTATCGAGTTATAAAAATTTGTGGGATTATCGAAATTTTTTCAAATTAATGAAATTTATTAAATTATCGATATTTATTGAACTATCACTATTTGTCAACTTAATGAACTTTATCGAGTTATCGTTATATGTCGAGTTCTTTAAACTGATCGAGTTATTTATTGATTTACTGAAATGTGTCCATTGATCGAATCGAAGTTTTTGGATTTTTTCTTAATATATCGAGTAGAGTGTAAAGAAATATCGAAATTTGTCGATAGCTTTCGAATAATATATAGCTATAAAAATTAACCGAGTTATCGAAATTCATAGAGGTATGCAAAATTTATCGAGCTATCGATTTATGTCGGTATACATATATTTTGGTGTTATCGAAATTTAGCACAGTTAGCGAAATTAGTCGAGTTATCGAATTTTGTTGTGTTATCGGGTTTTAGTGTTTTTTAAATTCACTGAATTATCGATATGTACCAAATTACCGAAATTCATCCACAAACCGGAGTGTATCGGGAAAAAGTCCTCCAAAGACCTTCAAAGATATAAAAAATTTTAGTCACGTTTTAATTCCAAAGGAGGAGATTTTCCGGCAAGGTATTTTGCGCCTCATAAAGTAAACAATTATGACTACTACTACAATTACGATAACAATTACCCCTACGACTATGATTACGACTACGACTACGATTATGTTTACAATTTCGAAACGATAACGACTACACCTACAGTTGCGATAATGATGATAACAATTACGACTATGACTATCATCACGACTATGATTACAGTTACGATAACGGCAACGATAACGAGAACAATTACGGCTTCGATTGCTGTTACAATTACTTTTATGATTGAGGTTATGCTTGCGGCTTTGACTACAATTACGATAACAATACTGTTACAATTACTTTCATGATTATTATTAAGATTTATATTAATATTACGATCACGTTTATGAATAGAATTTCGGCAACGACTATTATTACAACTTACGATTACGACTAAGGCTGCATAGCAATTATAATTACGAATATGGTTACCTTTATGATTACTTTACGGGGTGCGATTACGATTATCACAAGGATTACGATTTCAGTGGTGATACCCATAGACTACGATAACTATTTGAAGAAGAACGATTTATCAAAGCCTGTAATTCAAACCAGTTTATTTGACTGCATTTTTCATTCGAAAGCCACGCCGAAATCCTTGGTGGCTAGCGCTCTTTTGTTTAATTATACGATTTTTGATTTTAAAAGTAAGTAAAATAAATAAATACCTAAGTACGTGCATTCCCTAAAAGCAAATGCAATATTTTAAACTTGAAACCCAAATTTTTTAAAAACAAAATGTGATGTCCGTTAAGCAATATTTCTTCTAGTATATGAACACACATACATATGTATACAAAGCAATTCATATGAGTCCACCACAAAATAACGATAGTAGTAAATAATAACTTTCATAAATTGTAGAAGTTAAAAGTCAAATTGTTAAGTGCACTTTTTAGTGTCCAAGAGCACGTGACCGAAAGACCAGCAGCGGAAGTCTATGAAGGAAAAGTTTGCAAGAACAATTGAAACTCTGAAGCAGAGGTATAATATAACGGCGCCTAAAGCACAATGCAACGGAAGTGTGTATCCAAAGTCATATGTACGTACACATGTACTCGTATATCCTCAAATACATATACATACTACATACACGAGTCACACGAATACCTATGTGTATTTATAAGAATGCACGCTTGAATACCTTTGCGGCAAGCAACTTTAGTGCACTTGCACGAAAGCAGCAGTTAAAGTTTGGGTAGTGCAATGGGAAAAGCAGCATAATTTTTACTTATGTACATACATACATATATATGTATGTACATATTTATATTTACTTAAATGCAACAATTTAAGCAGGTATAGTGAGAACTTCTAAAGAAAGCAAAACTTAACCGCCAATTTTATTATTTTATTAGCTTGGAGAATAGAAAGCAATAAGAAAAAATTGGTAGTTATTAGTTTTTAACTGAACGTTAATAATGGTTTTCAACAACATCCGCGGTACGAAAGTGTAAGGGAGTTTTGAAGTTTACAAGTGCATACTATCTATATATATGTAAGTCCACACTATCAGAAGTAAGCAGGGTAATTCCGCACACTCTTTCGAAAGACAAAAGAAAAAAGAAAAAAATATGAGAAAATAAAATTTTTAAAAGACATTCTTTTTAAAACAATAAAATCTGAGAACTAAAAGAAAATTAAATTAAAAAAATAAAAAAAATTTAGGAATAAAGAAAGTTTCTAAAAATTCCATAGATGAAATTAAAATAAAATATATTTTTCTTTTTAATACAAAATCTGTCGTGAAGGAATGTTAATTAAAATTTAGACATTTATAAAACACTTTTGTAAAAATTAAATAAAAATAAAAAATATTGTACTTTCTAAAACAATAAAATTTAAGAATCTTAAGAAAATTGTACTAAGAAAAGAAACAAAACTAAAAATGGATTTATTTTCTTAAAAATTAAATGATATTAAAAACAAATATACTTTTTCTTTTTAAAACAATAAAATCTATAAATAAAATAAAAAAAATTTGTTTATAAAGATCAAATGACATTTAAAAATGATATACATATTTTCCCCTTAAGAATAATAGAATCTAATAATTATATGTAAAAAAGCACAAAATTAAAAGCGAAAAAAATAAATAAAAAACTATTCCCCGAGGACTCGAAGCCGTATCTTTGTAGTTGATTTAACAGCATACAAATTCCCCAAAGAGTTTTTGGGGAGTGATTTGCTAAAATGACACTCCTTGACCAGATATTAATCTGGATCGTTGCGATTACGTAGACCCTATTGTAGTGGAAACGATTGCGTATCTCCCGATATAAGTGCTTCCTGGCAAATGAGCTTTCCACCACTAATGGTGCATGAGAGAGCTTTTCTTCTAAGGCTTTTTGTGTAAACTAACAAACGTCTTTCGAACTAGCTTGCATCTATCTTCCACTTGTCTTGCGAAAGACATTTTACAATCGTTATATTTTGATTTTTTTGCTAACAAAATAACCGTTATTTTGGATATTTAGTTCTTCGATCATTTTTAACAATCATAACGGAGACTGCCATTTAATAGTCGATTTAAATTTTTTATATATTTAAAATTAAATCTAAATATAACGATTATAATATAATCCAAAAATAAAAATCAAAAATATCGCTTTAAAATTTATCGATAAAATAAAAATTTACAAATAACGATTATTATTAGTTTCACTAATAAAAAAAATTACAAAATCAGATAATTATTACGCTTCCTTTCATAAACTATGTACGTTTTTTTACTGAAACGATCAATATTTTGTAGCAACATAAAAAATTAATCATCGTTGTTGCTATTTCGATATTAAGCTCGAAATTTTACATTAGTATTTACTTAAGCGAAATGCCCAATTTAGATATCACAATATTTAATATTCAGCAAAAAAAATGCATATTTCGCTTTGGTGATACTTTGCTAAATTACTATTTCGTCAGCAAAAAAAAATAAAAAACCTGAAATAAAACACACACAAGTCTAGTAGCAATTTTCCTCAATCTATGTTATAACTGCCAAATCCTAGAGAAATATGACACTCTGCACTTAAAATCAATAATTCGCAATTTTATTATTATCCTTTTTCCGAGAATTGAATAGCTGAAAATCTCATTACACTAATGCCCATAAATTTGGTTTGTCATTTGTCAGAGTCTACAGGGCGTATACGTAACTAATGTGCTGACCCACACATACATGCACCACTATACATGCACACATATGTACTTAGTACGACCTTACGTAGCATTCTCACATGCGCTTGTCAATGCCTTGCAAATCGACATTGCCGACATCTGTGACTGCTCACTTATGTACATACATATATGTATGTATGTATATATACAAATGTACTATGTACATATGTATCTACACACCTACGTTAATAGTCACATAGTTTGATGCATACTTTTATAAAAGTGCAATTTTCTAAATGCATACCAAAGAACTTTTCTACCCAATTACTCTCATCTTTCCTTTTTCTGTAATTTCTATTTTTGGTCTAATGTAGTTTACAACGCATTCAGAAATGCACACATACATATATATATGCATATGTAGACGCCGATATTTCAAGGCGAAAAATTATGCCTAAAAGTCGGTATGTTTTTGCTTTTCATCATAAATACAAAGTGTGAATATGCGTCACACTATTTCTGTTGCAGGCTTTTGATGAAAATTCGTACATATGTACGTCTGTCCATATGCACAAATGCGGATTTATGACTCTTTGTAGGCGTAGATAAATGTATGTATGAGAACTTGTAGAAATTATGCGCACTGCATTGCAAGCAAATCGACTTACCGAATGCTTTTGAGTGACTAATGTTCTACGTTAGATGGCAAGTCAACTTAAATCTTTTTCGCTTATTTGACAATTCAGATTCGTTGGAATGTGGTTGATTCTCACATATTATTTGTTCCTTTGATTTCCTCTTTTTTAACTCAATTCAGCGAGTTGCTCAACTAGTTTCTTTCAAAAAAATTTATAATTAGTGTAATTTTAATACGAGTAGAATAGTAACCTGATTTCCTCTTATAACTTATTGGGTGCGGTCGAGTGTTACAAACGACGCCAATTGCATCTCCCTCTTTTTCAAAGATCTGGCCCCAGAGGGTATCGGAGCAAGCGTATTTTGCCCTATACTGAAGCTTTTAGCGCACAGTGGTTCAAAACTGATATTTATTGTGCAGTTTTCACTCACTTTGAAACCTTATCCAATTTTCAATAGACTAGATAGTACTAAAATTTTATAGTCAATAAAACTGCATGCCCAAAATTTTTCGAAGAACTAAAAAAAATTTAATTTTGGTGAAATTTTTTCGCAGCTCCTAGAAATAATCATAGTAATGTTTTTCATTATTTCCAATTGTTGAAAAAGTACTTTGCTTCTGCTGCAAATTTTCTTGAAGAAATAAATATTCTAGCACTTTTTTCTTGAGAGCTGCAAACTGATTTAAGATAGAAGAAAATTGCCTATGCAGAAACCTCGTCAAGGTGAAGCTTAAAATTATTAAAGCTTTTTTGTTGGTTCTTTGGGTACTAAAAGACCACTTTCACAAGCTAAGGATCTGGTAAAAGCGAACTATTTTTCTTTTGCGACTGCGTCAAGTAGATATCATTGCAACTCATCTTGGAGTGTGAGGCCGTTTTACGAGCAATGGAGAGATGCATAGGACATCTAAATGTATAAATGGGCACGAGAATAGCACATACCCTTTCAACCCCCGGGATCTATTCTGAAAGTTATAGAGCCTTTTATGAACTGTGATTTAGATTGGAAGCTCCCCTATTATGCTTTATATTATCAAGTTAAATAACACAAGAGTGAGTTGCCTGGGCTAAAACCTTGCCAAACTGAAACATGGCACCGTGGCGGGTTCTCTTCATGCTTTCAAAAGCGCCTTTAAAATTTATGAAAAGGTTTTTTTGTTTGGTTTTTGGTTTTTGGATGGCTTATTTTATAGAGCTTTTCAGGATTTCTTGCGCTGTGAGCTTCAGATTCTCATACAATATCGTCTAAAGAACTTTATAAAGCTAACATAATGCTAAAGTACACTCAGGATCAAAATTAAAAAATTATTTTTTTTTTTGAGTTTTTAGAAAATTTTGGAACATTTTTTTGGGTATGCAGTTTTATAGATTGTTAAACTACTACAAAAGTACGCGTTGATTTTTAATAATTTTTTCCCTTACATTTCGAGCACATCTGTATATTGTATAGCGCGAACCAGGGACCGACCATAAGGGTTATTGGTGAA